CTGTAAACTAGTTCAACCTCTGTGGAAAGGAATATGGAGATACCTTAAAGCGATACAAGTGAATCTACCATTTGATCCAGCAATCCCATTGCTGGCATCGACCCAAATGATCCAATGACACTCTACAAAAAAGACACCTGACCTCGAATGTTTATAGCAGCACAATTCATAATCGCAAGGCTGTGGAAACAGCCCAAATGCCCATCAATCCAAGAATGGATTAATAAAATGTGGTATATGTATACCATGGAGTACTATTCAGCTCTAAGAAACAATGGCGATATAGCACATGTTATATTTTCCTGGTTAGATCTGGAACCCATACTACTAAGTGAAGTATCCCAAGAATGGAGAAACAAGCACCAGATATATTCTCCAGCAAACTGGTATTAACTGAGTAGCACCTAAGTGGACACATAGTGACTACAGCAACAGGGTATTGGGCAGGTGGGAGGGGAGGGGGGTGGGTATATACATACATAATGAGTGAGATGTGCACCATCTGGGGGATGGTCATGATGGAGACTCAGACTTGTGGGGGGAGGGAGGGAAATGGGCATTTATTAAAACCTTAAAATCTGTACCCCCATAATATGCCGAAAAATAAAAGAAAAAAAAAAACTACACACATGGTAAAATTGCATATTACTATACACACACACACATGCAAACATCCCACTAAAGTGCTTATAAAACTAATGATATATGAATAAGCTCTGGGATCTGTATGAATACCAATTTCCTGGTTTGATCATGCATTGTCATTACTCAAGATGTTTCCATGGGAAAAAGTTGCTTCAAGGGTGCATGGGACCTGCCTGTGTATATTTTTTACAACTTTGTGAAAACTTACAATTATTTCAGACAAATGGAGTTAAAACATGATTTCTTAGACTAGATGTGAAAAAAAGAAAAAAATGGTAAAACTTTTCAAAATGCCCATGTAAATATGTCATAAATACATGTGTCTGAATATATATTTTTATATCTATGTTACAACCTGGTTTGACAATATAATTCTTGCATTGTCCACTTAAACACACAACAGATCTTCTTCATAGGTAAGAAAGAGAATATTGAAGTCATCCTAATGAGTGTAGCAGTCTCTAATAAGACCTAAATCAGGAACTGCTAACCACTAGTAGAAAGAAGAGTAAATTTTAATAAATCAGAAATTCAAAAATATAATAACAAGCCCTAAAGGAAAATAAAATTGCATATACAACATCTAGTTTCTTTTAGCTTTTTGTACTGTGTTTGATCAACCAATATTTTTGTCTCTGACTGATAAAACTAAACACAAACAGCCCTCGATTGTCAGAAACACAGCAGGGTCAATTTAGTAAATCATGAGTCAAAGAGGTCTACTGTCATAGGTTAGCTCTTATAACCTTGGTTAAGGGACTGTACTTATTAAGCCTTGTTTACTCTTGAATAAAGAGGTAGTAAGACTACCTACTTTCCAGGGAACAGAGGAGATAAAAAGATCATAATTGTCAAAGTATGTGTCACATAAAGACAGAATTCAATACGTGTTAATTTCCTATGCTTATTCTTGAAATAACTAAAAGTAGCTTATTTTGGTACTTCTCCTAATTCTAAAGACAGTGAGACTATGTAAAGCCACTAAATTACTTCTTATTTCAACATTGAATCTTTTATTCAGGTCACCATTTCCTTTAAGGGTCTTCTTCTCATGGTGTGGACTCCTGAGTATTTATTGTCACAAAGATCATATTTAATGTTCTCTGCTCTGTCTGCAATTGCAAAGTCATAAAGCAGGATGGTTGCTCCTATATTTAGTAGATTAAATAATACCTTCACCAGTGGAAGATCTTTCCATGAATGCCTCTATTGTATTTAATGTCAAAATCTTTACCATTAATTTTTGAGAAGTCATAATAAAATATCATTAGGATTTCTTAATACCAGAACATGTAAAAGAGAATGAAATTGATTAATTATCTCAGAAGATTGTCTCCACAGTGATTAACATTCAATAAGTTTTATATTATTAGATGGTGTTTCAGTCTGCCTTCAGATGGTTGGTCCTAGGCAATGGTTACAACTGAAGAAAGTGAAACAGAAAACAGGAAATTTTGTGCCTATGGCTAATAACCTTTCAGGTAAAAGTATTGTTATACGGTCAAACTCCCAAATCAGAAAATTTTCTATAAATTTTCTCATTTGATAATAGAGTAAATTTCATGATTACATAATAACCTCAGAGTTTTGCCACGTTAGTTGAATAAGAGAGAAATATAACTAAATTGAATATTAAAGTACTCAGTAACAAATATGCTTTTTATATAATTAAGTTACTAAATCTTATAGTCATGGTCTTTAATGATTATTGTACGTATAATTGAGCTGCTTAGCAGGATCAGATTAGTTGTTTCTTTGCAAGTACTTCCATTTGCTTTATAATTAGTGGACAGCTGCAACCTAATAACTAGTACTACATTTTAGGCTTCTGAGCAATGGAATTTCTTTTTTTTATGCTCACTATTCTTTGTATCATCTGAGCAGTGTCCCAAAAGTTGATGAGTTATTTCCCAAATAAACATTGTGCAAATCTGAAAGAAAACATGATTTTCCTAAAGTGAATCTATTATGCAACAATTCTCAACAAAATGTTAGCCAACAAAATTTAACAACATATTAAATAGAGTTTTCATCATGACCAAATGTGATTCATCCAGAGATGTGAGGATATTAATTCACATACATGAATTAATTCATGTGATACACCATATCAACAGCATGAGGCCAAAAACCATATGATCATTTCAATTGATGCTGATGAAACATTCAATAAACTTCAACCTCATTCCATAATAATAATTCTAAAAAAAAAAAACCAGGATATAGAATAAACTACCTCAACACAACAAAAGCCATATATGACAAATGACAGCTAGTATCAGACTGAATAGGGAAAAGCTGAAAGTCTTTTCTCTATAATCTAGAACAAGACAAGGATGCCCACATACACTGCTGTTATTAAATATAGTACTGGCATTTCAGCTAGGCAATCAAACAAGACAAAGAAAGGGCATCCAAATTGTAAAAGAAGAAGTCAAAATATCCTTTTATGTAGATGACATGATCTTACATCTAGAGAAAACTAAAGACTCCACTCAAAAACTATTAGAACTGATAAACAAATTCAGTAAATTTACAGGGTACAAAATCAACACACAAAAATTACTATCATTTGTATATATCAACAGTAAATAATCTGAAAAAGAAACTAATAATGTAATCCAATTTACAATAGCTACAAATAAAATAAAATACCTAGGAGTACACATAACAAAAAAAATGAAAGATCTCTATAATGAAAATTATAAAACATTGATGAAAGAAGTTGAAGAAGAAGCAAAATTTAGAAAGATATTCTATGCTCATGGATTGGAAGAGTCAACGTTCTTGAAATGTCCATGCTACCCAAAACAATCTACAAATTCAATGAAACACCAACCAAAATATCTATGACATTCTTCACAGAAATAGAAAACATAATCCTAAAATTTATATGGAACCATAAAACACCCAGAATAGCCAAAACTATCCTTAGCAAAACAAACAAAACTGGAGGAATCACATTGTTTGACTTCAAATTTTACTACAGAGCTGTAGTAATAAAAATAGCATGGTACTGGCATAAAAACAGACACATTGACCAATGGAACAGAATAGGGACATGGAAATAAATCCACACATCTATAGTGAACTTAACATTTGACACAGGTGTCAAGAACATACGTTGGGGAAAGGACAGTGTTGTCATAAGTGGTGCTAGGAATACTGGAGAAATGTATGCAGAAGAATAAAACTAGATCCTTATTTCTCACCATATGCAAAAATTAAATCAAAATGACTTAAAGACTTAAATCTAAGACCTGAGACTATCAAAGTCCTAAAAGAAAACTTTGGGGAAACACTTCAGGACATTCATCTGAGCAAGGACTTTCATAATACCCATAAAGCACAGACAACCAAAGCAAAATTGGCCAAATGGGATCACATAAAGCTGAAAAAGACAGGAAAGGAAACAATCAACAAAGGGAAGACACAACCCACAGAATGGGAGAAAATAATTGCAGACTACTCATGTGACAAGGGATCAGTAGCTAGAATATATGAGGCACTCCAACAACTCAGTAGGAAAAAAAAACAAATAATCTGATTTAAAGCATGGGCAAAAGACATGGATAAACATTTCTCAAAAGAAGACATAGAAATGGCCAACATGTATATGAAAAATGCTCAGCATAATTGGTCATCAGGGAAATGCAAAGGAAAACTACAAAGAGATATCATCTCATCCAAATTTAAAAGGCTTTTCCAGAAAGATAGGTAATAATCAACGTTGGCAAGGATGTGGAGCAAGGGGAACCCTGCTAAACTGTGTGTGGAAATGTAAATTAGCGTAGCCACTGTGGAAAACAGCATAGAGGTACTTCAAGAAACTGAAAATAGAATTACTGTAGGACCCAGAAATCCCACTGCTGGGTATGTACCCAAAAGAGGGAATTCAAGATATCAAAAAGGTATCTGCACTCCCGTATTTATTGCAGCACTATTCACAATTGCAAAGATATGGAATCAATGTAACTGGCCAGGAGAAGATGAATGGATAAAAAAATTGGGTGCGTATACACAATGGAATATTATATGGTCACAAAAAGAATGAAATCCTATCATTGGAATACATGAGTGGAACTGGAGGACATTATATTATGTGAAATAAGCCAAGCACAGAAAGACAAATTTCATGGGTTTCACACATATGTGTGAACTAAATATTATAAAAATTGATCTCACAGAGACAGAGAGTAGAATGATGGTAACAAGAGCCTGGGAAAGGTAGCGGGCAGGAGGGGATAAAGTGGGGATTGTTAATGAGTGCAAAAAATATAGTTAGATAATTAAATAGAATGAAGAATATTTGATAGTACAACAAAGTGAGTATAATCAACAATAAATTAGGGTATACTTCAAAATAACTTAAAAAGTGAAATTGGAATGTTCCTAACACAAACAAATATTAAATGCCAAAGGTGATGGACACCTCAATTGCCCTGATTGGATTAATTCACATTGTATGCCTGTATCAAAACATCACATGTACTCTATAAAGATATACAAATATTAACATTATGTACCATAATAATTAAAAATAAAAAAATATTTTAAATAAGGGGGAGAAATGGAATGCTTCTCTGGAAACATATGTCTCCTTTTAAACTTACACACATGAAATTTGTGAGCCTGTGAGACAAAGGAGCCCAGAAAGGCAAAGGCAGTGTACAAGGAGGGACAAGGGGAATGGTGAATCCTCTCCTGGTGCAAGAGTTTCTGGGCCCTTTGTGTTCTTCTTTAAAGCAGTAGATTATGAGAGAAATAATGTGTGTTTCTTAAGAAAGGTGAACAGAATGATAGGGGGAATTGAAATAAGAGCAGGTGAGGCAGCCAGCAGCCCAAGGTGGAGACAGAGAGAGTGGGTATCCCGGTGCAAATGCAGAATCAGCCGGCTGGTGGTGTCACCATCTATAGTACTGCCAACCTCAGACTAACTGCATTGCTTTCCACTCAGCCAAGTCTAACTCCAGAATCTCAGATTATGGATGAGCAGGCGAAATCCACAAACAGCAGCAAAGCATTTAAAAAACACAACTGAATGAACATCGTCCTCCTGTTAGCTACAAATTTACATATACCTCTTTAGGAATAAACTTAACTGCAACTTAGTAAGGCTTTTATAAGGACCAGGTATCTGTAGCAACTGATGTGAATAAAAACGCAAATAAATGATGAACACAAAATATTTCTGAATGGCAAGTCTCAATTTATAAAGTCAATTTTAAATTACTTCTTAAATGTAAAGCAGTAACTAACAAAATTCCAACAGGATTCTATATAAGAGTTCATAATGTCATTTTAGAAATTTAAGTGGAATGGTTTTAATAAAGGAAACAAAAGCAGAACAGTATATACAGAGTCAACTTTTATACCTACAATTATTTGGAAAATAATAACATCTATTTTAAGTAGTAAGTGATGTTACGTGAACTCGTTATTCATAAGAAATAATTAAATAGTATTCTTATAGCCTGAGAATAAAATCCAAATAAAAGAAAGATATGACTTATGAATATATGAATACATTTGAGAAAGAGTCCTCCAGAGTAAAACATAAAACACACAAGCCATGTAATGAAAGAGGGACTCATAATATTACATGAAAATCAAAATTCTGAATATGGCAGAAAGATCATAAGCAGTTTGTAAGTAAATGTAAAACAAAAAGTACAACTATCCACGATTATATACCAAAGCGACATGAGGAATTCTCACTGGATCAAAAATGCAGGAATGCCTGGAAATGGAAAGCTCTCCTGATGGCAGAAATATAAAGGTCATTATATTAATATTCATTAATAAGTGAGATCTTGTAACGTGGTTCAGAGAATCAAAGATTGAAGTGTATGATTTAATGTATTTCCTGCTGAAGGTGCTTTCTTAGGATTCTGTGTGCTGAGCTTAATTCTGTGTTTCATTTACATCCCGATGAACTGCAATGGAAAGTCTTTCATCTGCTTTTGAAAACTCTTGTCAAATTTTTCATTCTGCTCGACAGTCATGTGATTTTTCCAGTCTCCAATGGTACCTAGTAGAAAGTAACAGAAAACTTGCTTTGGTGAAGTTTTGTGGTGTGGTCAGGGGCAAAAGAAACAAATATCTCAGTGCTGAAAGAAACATTTTCCCACTTTTATTTTTTTGCCCATTAAGCTCCCAGGCATTCCTCTACCTGGCTAAGACTCGCCACTGTCTCATTTTCTGGCAAGCAGATAAACACACTTATCATTGCAATTTTGCTACAATTAGATATAGTCATCACCCATAGTCTCAGTGTCAACACCTGGGAAATTGAAAATTACTACAACTTGATCACTGTTTATTTCCAAGGTCACATTTGTTCCCATATTCTACAGAAGTCTCCTAAAAATTCTATAGGATAAATCATCACTGAGATAACACTTACAAATAAGGACTTGGATGCTCAGAGAGATTTTATAAAACACCCCGTGATCATATAGTTTCTAATGGCAGAACTCAAATTATTCCACCTTTGCCCCAATTACTTGTGACTTGGCCTTGAACTAAACTTGAAAAGATGCACAGTTGTCATGAGAAATAGTAGCTGACACAAAGAGAGGCAAAAGAGGAAAGATTGATTTGAAAAACAGGGTGTACTGAAAGCATACTGAAAACTGAAACAAACGGCTTAAGCACTGAATGAACTAAGAACACAAACGCCTAGTGCAGCACTGCTAAAGTGAAAGCAAACTGTGATAAGGTGGATAAAATCAAGGAGAGATCTGTTTGAGTCTCTTTAAAATAAACACATGGCTCACTTCCACAAAGACATTTTGCTCACTCTTATATTTCTTATAGCCATATCGGTCTCTCACTATCAGGGTTTCCTAAGGACACAGAAACACAGAAAAATGTTTTCTTTCAAATACAAAAAGCAAGTGCAGTGCTAAGGGAGGTGGGCAGTAGCTTTAGCATTTGGAAGCCAGTAGGATGTGTTGGGACTAATGGCAATGTCTCTTCAGGTCAGCTCAATGCTACCAGTGATTCAGATATTTCAAGAGAGTGGGAAAAGATACAGCAAAGAGAGGAAGGAGAGGAAATACTAACTTAGAAAAATACAAAACCAATATTTATTGCATCTTGACACAGGTATATAACTCTATGAAATTATTAAGTGCCAACCCTATGTCTATAATTCTGTGTAATACTAAGTTAACAAACATGAAATATAATATAGAATGATAGTGTAATTAAAGTGTTTTAACATTTTTGATTCTAGCAGTTATATGAAGAATCCATGCATTCTAAAAACTGATTCCCCAGACCAGATAAATGAAATATAATTATAAATTTTTTAAAAGTGAGATCCTAGTTTGATAAAAGGCATGTAGCTAACAGTGTACTCTAATACCAAAATTAGAGCCAATATGTGTTGTTATCCACCACAGTCAGAGATCCAGGATAAATCATGGTGATGCAAGAGTGGCCATTGATGGCCAATAGGCTTGTCAATACTCCATTGTCAGGTGGTGTGGCCCTGTTTAGGAGGAAAAAGCGTCTAATCCCAAGTGAATATCCAGTTGGTGGCAGGTAAGCACTGTGCTAGGATTCAGTAGATTTTCAGAGACCATGTAGAAAACCTTGCGATTTTAGCTTACCCATCAAATACCTTTCTGGAACCAGGCAATGTAGGCACATGGAGAGCACCAGGCAGACATTATGTAATAGAAACTGACTAGAGAAGGGAAAGGGCCAAGAGGGTTCCACTGTTTGAAACTCTACCAGGAAACCCTGGGGCTGTACTCTGTTCCATCTGCACCACAGGGGAAAACAACTGTTTACTGCTTCACTGCTAATCTTCACCTTTGCGAAGAAAATGGCCTTCACGTTTTAATCCAACATTCGTCTTAAGTATGTTTTCAAAGTTTGCTAGTGGATCATCCTTCATGTTCTCAAATGTGGCCTGTCTCACCACAGCATCCACACTCTCCTCATTCAGGTCTTCACCCAGAAATTTGCAGAGTTTTAACACAGAACTTCTGAGATCCTGAAATAAATTACAGTATGGTAAATTATGCAATATATAAGACATGAGACATATGCAGGCATCACAGCTAAATAATCATTGCAAGACTAAAACATGTAGCTGCTTCAGCTTATTGTAAATTTGGACTTGGCCATTGCCACTTCACTTTTTATTCTTTACTGATAAAAATATTTTGTTTGCTATTTGAGAACTTAGGTTATTTGCACATTTTTCATTTTCTCTGTGTTCACTTAGCAAAGTTTCTACTGTGAGGCACTGTCCTACGTGATGTGAAAGTGAACACAGGGACAGGAAGGAAATCAGTGCTGGGAGTTGAGTCCAAGGTCTAGGGCAACAGAGTGATTGAGGAATAGAATTGAGAGAAAGTTACAACACAGAAGAGATATTTATTCTGGGTCTTCAAGGAAAAACAGTAATTGTCTAGGTGGACAAAACAGGAGATATGCAGTGTGAACATAAGAAAACGAATACACAGTACCATTGTTGTATGGTATGTGTGAGATATCAGGCCACAGAAAAGTTAGAAACTGGTATCCTCAGAACATGAGGGAAACAGGCCTGGGATCAAAAAGTAAGAGACATGCCCGGAGAGATGAGCAAGACCAGACTGTAAGGAAGGTTGCAAATTGGTCACATGGACAAAATGGTACTCACATGTCAGCCCCAACTTTCGTCATTGAAACAAAAAGAGGAAAACAAATGTAAGAAGTTTCTGAGATTGACTTTTGTCCTGCAGAGAAGGTGGCAACAAAACAAGGGACACAGTCCCTCTCTTCCTGTATCAGGTGCTTCCAGATGAGGACATGAGTTGGAGCCCTGACTAGTGTGTTACAATTATGGAGAGATCTGTCACTGACAGAGCAAATATGACAACATGGAAAGGAAGAACATGCTTGAGACATTCATGACATCCTTGTGTTACTATGCACAGCCTAGGAAAGCCAGCCTCTGCATCTCAATTACTAAATAATAGATGTTCTTGTATTTAAAGCCACTTGTAATTGACTGCTCCTATGAGCCAGATTCTTGCCAAGGAAACATAGACATTTTCTTATTTATGTAATTTTTCTTTTCTTTTTTCATTACAAACCCTTCTGTTGAAGGATGACGTTCAATGGATTCCTGTGAGGGAGCTGCTCTGCTGTATTCAATGTTTTCATTGAATTTATTATGCAGTGGATAACTGAAGACAACACAGATAAGGTAAGAGATACTGGAAAAAACCCTCATGTGAAGCTTAATCTTGGATCTCAAATTCCATATTGTTCTTTGGGTGTTGTAAGCATGAACTATGAATTCATTAGGCCACGCTAGGTAAGACCTTAGATCAAAGGACAAACACGATCTCATCTCACCTTCTTCATTTCTTCATACATCATGAACTGAATATTGAAGTCATTTCTGTGCTCATACCAACCTCTGATATGGTCAAACCAAAGGCTTCCTACCACTGTGGGAAGAAGAGGTAAGTAATTAGGTAGATATGTTGAGAGGGTTGAACAGGTTATAAGGTGTGGGAATCTTTAGTAACAAAATAGTAAACAGACGTCTGTTGCTAGTTTCTAGATTTTCCTTGCCATGTGGTGATTGGGGAAGCATTTAGCTTTGAGCAGGGAACAATTACACAAAATCAAAGACAAGTTAGTCTTTTAAAATGCAGTTTGTATGAACAGAAAGCAGCCTAATGTGTGTTGGGTAAAGACCAAAAATTGAGAGCAGCTGGACAAACAATTCCTCTCTTCCTGCTCTTCTTATTGTCCCCAAACACACACAGAGAGACATTTCTACTCTCTGTGTGCCACCATAGGGTCCCAGAGGAGTCACTTCTGCTCTGCACAGTGACCCAGAACTGAAGCTTAGGCGTCCTGTTTAATATTATTATCTCTGTCTCTGCAGGCCTTGCTCCTTCTCACCTACTTACATTGGATTCTTAGAAAAACAAAGTGGAAAGGAACTCTCAGACACACACTTCTGAGTTACTGAAATACTAATCTGTCCACACTCTTTCCATGGAAATGATTTTGTAAAATAGTCATCCCTTGGAGAGTGGGTCAGACTAGAGCAATTGGCATGAATGGCAGGAATTGGTCCTTTTAGACAATCCTACCAACGGGTTGCTAAATTGACCACTGACCACCATTCTTCTCTATTTTCACCACCCTCTTTTCCACCCTCCAAATTCATAAAGCTCGAAAACTCACCACAGCACAACAAACATATTATTTGGGTATTAATATCAGTTACCTTTCCCTTCCAAAAATTGTTTCATAAATGCCTCCATGGTGTCCTCAGCTTTAAAGGTTGAATATGTGTTTAGAAAATGGAAATATGAGCACATAACATCCTTAGGGTTTCTGTATACATATATAATCTGCAAAAGAAAGAAAAGGAATTATTGTTTCTGATGCTTTCATTTATCATATTTTCTTCAGAATGCATCTCAATTGGATTAAGCCCATTACTTATAGCTTTCATAATTCCCTAAGTGTGTCCTCAATATTCACAGCTTCTCCTTTATATTTAGTCCTTCTCCTTCCCTGCAACACCAATCAAGACACAGCTCAGAAGTTACTTCTTATCTTGCTGAGGCAAAGAGAGCAACTTCATTCTTCAATCCACCGACTCACTAACGCCTATGGAAATGCTTCATATTCTATAAAAATATGTGAGCATAGCAATAATTCACTAAAATGGTTTAAAATCATATTGTAAAATTTATGGTTTGCTTTACACATCTTTTTATGGAAGTTTTACATAATTTTTCTTGTATATTATTAAGTCAAACTCAAGTGTTTGGCACACAGATGTTACTTACTAAGTATTTTTTGCTTTGAAACTATGCAGAAATGAAGAATTTGTTGGTTTTTTTGTTTATTTTTTGTTTGTTTGTTTTCTTTTTTTTGGCAAGTCAAATGAGACAGTGAGAGTTGAGACAGAATACTGGAACATTTTATTACAGGAACCTTGGTTGTGATCAATTATTTGCAAACACCACTGCACTCAGATCAGCCTAGAAGATTTGTTTTTTAAAATTGTCTTGCAGAAACAACCAGAATAAATTAACTCCAAATAAAATTAAGGCATTCAATCATATTGGAATATAGAAAATCATTAATATCTACTCTAAGCTACAACTCACTACCTCAGTCTATCTTTTCACAGAATATTTGGGGCTCTGATAAAATTATAGGTCTGCTTCTTTGTTTTAAAATGAAAACTACAACTTTAGTTACATCTCTGGGAAACTTCCAAGTTTGGTACAAAGAAGGTTTCATCCACGGGCAGCCTCCCTGGCACAGCCTGGACCTAGCTCCTAATGCTGTGAAGTGAGGTGATGGACGCAGGGTGTATCTGCAGGTCTCCTCAACCCTGAGTGCTCTCCCAGTGCATAGAGGGAGAGTCCTTCAGCTGTGGAATATCAACAATCGTTGACATTGTTGGAAAGGAACAATGGCTATTTATATCTTGAAAAAAAGAGCTTTCTTTCATTTCCTTGCTGTGATTCTTAGGGTCTAAAAATGGCTTCTTGTCATTCATCCATTTGCTTACGTAAAAATGATACACGTAAAGCTGTTAATAGTATCCTTGAGTCACTTCTGCAATGAGTCTTGGTCCTACCCATCTTGTATAGATAATAACACATGTTATTGGTACAGGGAACTTGGGAAATGGAGAGGTTTGAGGAAAAATAAAATAATCTGTTTGGATATTTCAAGCATGACATGTCTATTACACATACAATAGAAGATATTAAATAGTTCATGTCAGTAAAGAATTGAGAAAAGAGGTCAATTAGATATACATTGTATTAAACATGATATGATTGGATAATATTACCTAGCAATTAACTGCACATGGAAAGAGGAGAAGGAGAGGGAAAATATCTGGAATCATCAGCATCGAGAAGCTGGACTGAGCAGAAACCATTAAGGAGGAAGGGTCAATGCCTCAGCAAGTTATTGTGTGGTAGAGAAAATTCAAGTACTGTTTTTTGAATAGCAACGATGTCTATTTTCTCAGAAACAGGAAAGCCCAAGATTAATTTGGAGCAGAACTGGTTAACTCATCATCTCAGAGTTGTCATCAGGGAGTTACAGTCTCCCTGCTTTTCTACTCTGACAAGCTGACTCTCCTCCATCTATGAGCAGTCACTGCTCTTTCTTCCCCAAGGCCTCCTTAAGGAGTGAAGAGACTTTTCTGAGAAGATCCGCAGTAAACTCATTTTCCTGTGTCATAGGCCAGAAGTTCATTACAATGAGAACACCCTAAAAGGAATAAAAACCATAGGAGGTAGCAGCCAGATAACTAGGGGTTTGAAGTCGCAGTTAACTTAATTAACTTGATTGCTTTTATTTTTCCTTTTTGGATGTTCCATTTGGGTTTTTCACCAGGTTTATTCTTTGATTCCTTCTTGGAGCTTTCTTCTGCTTCATATATGGTAACTTTCAGGTGATTTCTTCCTTCATTCTTTCAACCAAACCACCTGCCAAGCACCGTTGTACACACTCTGAACACAGCAGTGAGCACACCTGTACCTCTGCCATGAAGGTGCTACGGTTTGGCCTGAAAGATTGAAAATAAATGAATACCTAAATATATATTATATCAGATGCCAATCAGGGCTGCCAATAGTGGAAGATGAGTTATAGAAAACTGTGGCTGAGGTTGGAGAAAGAAAAGAACACAGGAGTCTAAGAATGCACACCAGGAGGCTGGGCAGGACTAGGACCAGGCTGAGGCAAGTGCAAAGCCTGAGCTATAATCTTCAAGGAGGCTCTCACACTCAGGCTCTTGCCAGGGCTGATCCTGCAGTTACACAAACACGAGAGCATGTGCATCCTTAAATGTTCAGCCCAAGTGCCTAGTTAGTTTCTGCCTTGTGTGGCTCTGCCAGAAGATAATTCCCATGAACTTGTTAAATCACATGAGGGACACGCATAGAGCCAGAGATAAAGGTAGAGAGCCAAGTGCTGACATTTTCAGTAAATGGTGGTCAGTGATCCAGGAAGGAAGGTACAAAGGGAGAGAATGTCATTATACAGAGGAGTGACTAGGTCCTAAGTTCCCTTGACCTTTAAAGTAACTAGGTCTTTAGGGAGAAAGGGGCTTGGGAATTAGGTTGTGAAACCTGGGAAGGCACTAGGGGTGAAGGAGGGACAGGAGTGCTCATGTGATATGTGTATGTATAGATGCCTATTAATGTTTAAATTAGCTCTATTACCTACACAATTAGGAAAGAGACAAGATGAAAAATCAAATTCAATATTATAACATAAGAATGCAGGTGTGTGCTGAGAATGACAGAATGTAAAATGCATTCAATTTCATCCTTTGCTGTTTGCTACCAGCTGAATGAATGTGGTGTCAGTGTAAGGAGGTACAAGGAGGTAAGGAAAGAGAGCAGTTCTTGTCAGCAGTAATAGTATTCAAATGCCCTACTTTGGCTTTTTTGTTCTTTAGCCCTCTTGGAACCAAGTTGTATGGAAGATGGGTAACGAAGAGACGAGGAGATGGTCTTTTGCCAAAATCTATATGTTTAGAGTACTCAAGAAAGGGGACACGAAGATTTGTTTCCACATTTTCTGTTCTTTTGCGATGTTCTTCAAAATAAATCAAGCTTAATATCTGCCGACACCAGATGGTTCCTATAAAAGAAATAATTTTGTTTATATTAATGCATGGCTCTCATAAAAATATATATAAACAGTTTTGTGGTCAAATAAAGTTTGTTTGTTGTTATGTTTACATAAATGTTGTATGACAATTTGATGTATGCAAAGTGACATAATGCTAAGGTGAACATATATTGCTTTAATTTTTCCTTTTTGGATGTTCCATTTGGGTTTTTCACCAGGCTTATTCTTTGATCCCTTCTTTGAGGTTTCTTCTGCTTTGTATATGGTAACTTTCAAATTATCTTCTGTGCTTATCTTTAGAGTTCTGTCTTGAACCTCATCCTTAGAGCATTAGCTAATAAATCACAGAAAAAGGGAATTGCAGTGAAGAAGTAACCTTGAAACTTTCCCACTTTCTCCATGTTTGACTCCTGATTGCTGCTTAAGAAAACGGTGTTTAAGTACCTACAAAATTTTTGACAGCAACATGTAGACAGAAATAAACAGTTATTAACTGAAGTTTGTCCATTGGCTTTTAAGTGAGCTTTGAGAAAGGCATTTGGATTAAATCCAATTAGACTGGACATTTAGTTTTCTTAATATTTGGGACTAAGATTTAAATCACTCCTTGTATTGGTAGCATTTTCAGTCAAAATGTGTTGAAAGTATTGATTTACCCCACTAAAACTTCACGAGTCCCAGGGGGAATGTTTATCAGATTTCTGCTAGGAGAAAACCTGTTGCTTCTCAACAATTTCCTCCTAGCCTTTGTTTCCAAAGACTATTCAGTCACCAATGGTGAGTAAGATCATTGTTGAGCATACATCCCTGATGGCAGGTATAGGTGATATGCACCTTATATGTTCCTCTCACTACCTAAATAATGGTGGCTGTAGTCTTCAGTATTCCTGGGGAAGACTATGACCACATGTGCCTACTTGCTGTCTTAGATACCAAACTATAATCTGGACCAAAGCCATGCCAGGCAAGGGTTCCATCATGCACCCCTACATTTAAAGTATGAACTAGGTTTGAAGTACCACAAAGTGTTTCTTTTTTCTAGCAGCTAAGCACACAATGGCCTGGTGATAAGCAATACTGAGACAATTTTCACTCACTGACTGCCCTATGCTGACTAACAGAGGCACTATTCAACACGCCACAACTGTACCTTTGATTGGACAAGAGATTGATTTCAGTAACTTTTTCCTGACTAGAGACCACCCCCAATGGAGTATTTCTGGCCAGTTTATAGAGGCTGATTACTGAGTGCCTTTGTGTCCTTACTTTACCTTTTGATGCATAGGGCCTAACTGGAATGCATTTAAATGTTGTATCCAGCCCCAAAATGAACACGGAATGTATGTGACACGCATGTTTGCTTATTGTGCATGTGTGCATCTTCCCTTGGAGAATTTTCATAACTGCCTCTAAAATCTATTGAACAGGTATACTTGGCCAAGCTGTTCAGAATAACTTCTTGTCTCATCTTCCCTGCTTCAAAGTGGTTCATTTCTGATTTCAACCAGAGGCTGAGCCTCCTCCCTGGAGCTTCTGACTCTCTATGAGAAATAAAGTTCTCCTCTCCAAAGTTATGACTATTCAGATTTTTTTCTGTGATACTTAGTGTTTCTGTACCTAATATGTCCAGGTAGTACCAGTTTGCTCTTCAGAAAATGGCTGCTTCAGCCTCTTCTCCCATGGGTAAACGCTAATGCATGTAGATCTCTATCCACCCTTATCAGCATTTTACATATTCACCTTTCTAATTCTTGTTAGTCTATGTGATGGTTAATATTATATGTAACTTGAGTGGGCTAAGAGATGCCTGGATTGCCAGTAAAATATTATGTCTGGATGTCTCAGTGTGGGTGTTTAAAGAACAGATTAGGGTTTGAATGAGTAGGATAAGAACATCCTTCCTCACCTTTGCAGCCAGGAATCACACAATCCATTGAGAACCCAAATAGAACAGAAAAGTGGAGGCAAGGCTAATTCTTTCTCTCCTTGACCTGGGATATTAGCTTCTGTGACCACTGGACATTGAAGCTCCATGTTTTTGGGCCTTTGAACCCTGGCACTTGCATCAGTAAACCCCCTGAGTCCCAGGGCTTTGTCCTCATACTGGGAGTTACACCGTTGTCTCCCTGGTCCTGATGCCCTCAATCTTGGTCTGAATTACACCACAGACTTTCTGCATCTCCTACTTCCTAAGTACATATTCTTATACTTCATAATTATGTGAACCAAGTCCCATACATATATATTGTTAATATAGTACATATATGATCTATAGTCCTACTAGATATAAATAATATACTTATGTATATTAGAAGGTGCATATATTCTTCCATAAATGCCTTGTGGTTTTCCTAGGTTTGAACATAATGTAAAGTTTAATGTACAAAATATGTCATATATCGTAAGGTCATAAATATTATATTGTGAAGGGAAAATTAATCAGCAAAAATTATTGGAATATTTTTCTCGTGAGGCTGCATTTTTAGTTATGGCCATTCAGAATAGTTTCACTGATACAGTAATAGTAAAATAAGGAAGCAAAGGAGAAGAGGAAATATTCCATACAGATGTCTAGGGAAGAGCATTTCTGCAAGAGGAGACAGGATGTGCTAAGGGCCTGAGGCAGCAACATGCTTTTAGAGATTCCCTAGAGCAGATGTGTTGGATCAAAGTCAGCTAAAGCACCAAAAATATTTTTAAGTACTCACACCTTGTATTTCGTCGCTCTGAATCTTATAATATAGAAGTATGTCCTGTTCATTTATTTAGACACTTGAATGGCTCTCAGAGCACATGATTCTTTTTTGTGAAGAATTAATGTTTTGCATATACAAAGACTCTGAAATGTCTGTGATGATATAAATGGTGATACATTTCTATGGTGTAGAGACCCTTTTTTAAGAAGTTAAAAGATTCACCATTTGGCCACCTTTTTCAAAGTGACCAGGAAGCTATGGCATTGGAATTGGACTAGTGTGATGAGCTGTCAGACTCATTGAGCGGCAGGGGTCACTGCAGACAGAATGTGTCTTCAGAGTACAATACATGATGTAAAACTGGGCCACCTGAGAGGTGCTAAAGAGAGTAGAAAATGGAATTGAAATCAGGCTTTAGTTTGTTGGGTCAAATAGCAGGAAAAGCAGGCTCAAGGAAAGATTGGAGGCACCAGGCCCTGAAGCAGATGCTCAGGCAGGAAGTAAAAGCACAGCAAGGCAATTGCAAGGAGAGAGACAACCCTTTAGGGTTTTCCTAACTGAATTTCTGTTTAGCGTATTGCTTTAATCAAACACACAATTCTATGACCTAGAGATAATTAAAAATGATTAGGAATTATTTTGTAATATAATAGTATGTTAACTTTCTCCTTCTTTTCTCTTCAAATATATGTTCCAATACCTGACTAAATGCTAATATTCTTGCTTTCTTTCTCATCCCATCTCAGCATTCATTGTTTGATGTTATCTTAAGTCTAACAGTTTTAAAATCATGCCCATTCCAATGCCAAATCTGAAATAACTTATATGTCATTGTAAAAAATCTTTTTCAGGGGATATTGAATAATGAGTTTTGTATGTCGAAAGGATTAACATTGTATGGACGTATGTAATACTAGTAAAAACTAAATTCTCATATTATAGAAGTATTATTTTATGTCTTAGATTAGCTATTGGAATACTGAACTTACCAGATTTGGGGTATGTGACTACGAAGACATCATCATCTCTAATTTTAAAATCATCTAAATTTTCTAAAAAGCCAATATCCAATCCTTTACGCTGAAAATAAAATCCTTTAAATTTCAATAATTCTCTTTCTGAATCTTCCATAATGCAGTACCTGCAGAAAACATATAACATTCTTTGAATGATATTTAGATGAATTTTATATCTTCATCAGAATTATTGCCTTTCAGTCAAGATTCAAAAAAGAAATTGAATCTTTATTTTCCCCATAAACATATATCACATTCTAGCACTAAAAACCAATGCTGGGTGTGTGTCACTTGCTCCAATTCCCAGGAGCCTGCTATTCAAGGGGTGGGTAATTGTTTTTGTGTATATGCTGCACTCATATAGCTACAGGGAGGAGAGCTGAAAGTAATAACTGTAAGAATTTCAAAAAATGATGATATCAGATGTTTCATATATTCTACTATAAAAAAATATATTCATTTGATTTAAACAAGTGTGAGAAACATTTGCCTGTTAGACTAGTCAAAGAATTCTTTATCATCTATGTCTTTTTTTTTCTTTTTTTTGGTCTGTAACTGTAGTATGGGCATTAGGTTTTAGCAATTTTATAGAAGCTTTTCTCTGCACATTTTCTGGAGTTAGGTCCTTATATTTTCTGATAATTTTTTACTAAAATATGATTTTATTTCTTAACTTATAACTTATTTAGAACAATAGGGATAATAAAACCAGGAAGTCACATATATGAATATATTCAAGGAAGCCTGGGAAGATGATCAATTGAAGATCAATTGATGATCAAATGAAGATCAATTGATGATCAATTGAAGATGATCAATTAAATTGTCCATAATGACAAAATAAACATTGGAAGAACTTTAGGAAAGAATTTTAGGAGATGAAAGAACAAATTCAAATAGTGGGTCAACATGAAAAGTGGTAGAGGAAAGGTTTTAACCCGAATCTTGTGAGTCATCATCTATGTATATATTTTACCTTTCATTATTTTATTATATTAATATTGCAAACTCTGAAAATTTTTTAATTTGGGAGTTCGTTCATAGGAAGCTCATCTTTTCTTCTTCTTTCCAAATTGCTAATTGTAGGATTAAAATCAATAAAATCATAAGAAATGCACAATTTGAAAGCAATTCCAGGTAGCTTGGGCAAAGAGTCATTCCAACAGAAAAGGAAATAAATAATTCTAAAAATATACTTTGAAGGAGACTCTATAAGTTTAAATCTTAGTTTGATAGCTACTCTTCTAAAATGAGATTTATGAAAGTTAAAGATTAGTTAGCATCATCCACATGTGTTTCTTGCCAAAGCTACGAACTGGTAGGGAGGTGGGAAGGAGGACAGCAGAGAGACAGAGACTAGTTCTGTTATTAGAATGACTTAAAGAGCCGCTTTTCTGTCCCCAGGTATTAAAGCAAAATAGTCTAATTTACCTCTACTGGTGATTAGATTTGGGATCTACTATTAATTTCTACTAGAAAGAAGTAGAATTCCATGAAGAGTAGCCAAATACATGCCTTGGGATCAGAACAAAGATGGTGAAGCTGTGAGACCTTTACCTTATCAGAAAAGCAAAGTAATTTCAGTGGTTTTGGAGTCATGCCAAAGGGACAAAAGATCATAACAAGGATGGCTAGTGACCCAGGAGAGACTATTTGAACATGAGAAGGCAGAAAATAAGTACAATCATTTAGAAAAGTAAACCTGATTTGAGGAGCATGCGTTCATGATGATGATATTTACAGTTAGCAACACACATTTTATGTGATGTGCAAGACATTTCTAAATCCTAACACACATTCCATGACTACCACATGGAATTCCAATCAACGACCAATTCCAATCTACAAGTCATCAATTACCGAGTATTGGTTAAAGTTAGAGGATATGCTCAGAGTGCATTTTAAAATATATGTGCTGATCAGGGTTCTTCCACCACACTTGAGAGGCTGAACCCTGAACAGCACATATATTTTGAATCGTCTCTATTTGTTAAAAATATAATTGGGATGGTGATAGGAATTGCATTGACTCTGTAGATCATTTGGGGTAATATGGATATGTTAACAAAATTAATTATTCCAAACCGTGAACACTAAATACATTTCCATTTATTTTCATCTGTTATAATTTCTTTCAACAGTGTTTGTAGTTTTCAGGTGACAAGTTTTTCACTTCCTTGATTAAGTTTATTCAGAAATATATTATTCTTTGTGATGCTATTGTAGATAAAATTGCTTCTTTAATGTTCTTTTCAGATTTCTTGGTAGTGTGTAAAAGCACAACTCATTTTTGATGTTCGTTGTGTGTGCACATGTGTGTGTTTGTGTGTACATCTGTGTGTAGGTAAAGACTTTAGAGTTTTCCCCCAAGATCATGTTATCAGCAAACTGATAATTTTAATTCTTCCTTTCAGATTTTAGTGACTTTTGTTTCTTTTTCTTACCTAATTTGTCTGGGTGTGACTTCAAATACTATAATCAACAGAAGTGATGTGAATAGGTACCCTGCCTTGCTCTAGATCTTAGAGGAGGAGGTTTCAGCTTTTCACTTTTGAGTATGATGTTAGCTGAGGGCTTTTCATATGTAGATCTTATTGTGTTGAGGTAGTTTCCTTATATACCTAATTTTTTAGAGTTTTTATTATGAAAGTGTGTTGAATTTCATCAAATGCCTTTTCTGAATCTGTGGAGATGATCATGTAATTCGTATCCTTCTTTTCATTAATGTGAATCATCACACTGATTATTTTGCATTTGTTGAATCTTCTAACATCTCATTCATAAATTTCACTTAATTATGGTATATGATCCTTTTAATATGCTGTTGAATTTAGTTTGCTAACATTTAGTTCAGGATTTTTTACCTATATTCTTTAGGCATATTGGCTTGCAATATCCTTTCTGTAGAGCCTTTGACTGTCTTTGGAATGTAAAGTCTTTGTAATATAACTGTCTTTGGAGTGTAATGTTTCAGTCTAAAAAGAAGTTGGAAGTATGCCCTATTCTACTTTTTCTAAAATTTTTTTTAAGTTTTGAGATGATTTTAATATCTGTTGCTTTCAACACAATTCAGCTTGTAAGTTATCATTTGAAAAGTTTTTAAACTAATGTTACTGAGATTACAATTTAACAAATAAACAATGGGGTGGATTCAGTAGTAGGTTATGAAAGTTACACATGGAATATCTTTGTTAAACACAGATCTGGTCACTTTTTTGTCTGGGGAGTGGGGTTGTTTGCCTTAGAGGTAAAGTTCATATTCATTTTTGGCATGATGTGTGACAAATGCCTACATTTTTTTCTAAAATCGTAAAGGAGGATTGATATAAATTTTTCTATAACTATTTGGTTGAACCAACTTGTGAAGCCATCTGGTCCTGGGCTTTCCTTTATTGGAAGAACTTTGATTATTGACTCATTCTCGTTATTTGTTATCACTGTATTCAGGCTTTCTATTTGTTCATGAGTCAGTCTGGATGGCTTTTAGGAATTTACCCATTTATTCTAGACTGTACAATCGGTTGGCATATAACTTTTCATAATAGTCCCTTATAACTTTTTCCCCTTTAGCATGTTGCAAAGTCTGCTCTTCCATTTCTGATTATTTGTTTGTTTTCTCTTTCTCTTTTTTTAGCCTAGCTAACGGTTTGTCAATTTAGTTTATTTTTTTCAAAGAACCAATTATGAAATTTATTGGTCTTTTTCTATTCTCCATTTTATTTGTTTCTGCTCTATTCTTTATAATTTCCTCTTTCTTCTAACTTTTTCTGAGTCTTTTTCTTATTTTGATATTTCTTCAGATTTAAGGTTAGGTTGCCTATTTGATACCATTTCTTTTGATGTATGCATTCAACCCTATAAAATTACTACTCCTATTTATCAGTCTTAATACTCCTTTTCTCAATACCATAAATTTTTCTGTGTTATGTTTTTATTTTTGTTGTCTCAAGATGGTATATTATCTCCATTTTGGTTTCCTCTTGTATCCATTGACTTTTCATGATTGTGCTTTTTAATTTGCATGTATTTGTTAATTTTTTCCTTTTGCTTCTTTTACTGATTTTAGTTTCATTCTACTAGATTCAGAAAAAGATACCTGGGATTATTTCAGTCTTTTAAAATTTGAGACTTCTTTAGTTATGTAGCATGTGATCTATCCTGGTGACTATTTCATGTGTGTTTGACAAGAATGTGCATTCTGCTCCTGTTGTGTGGAATGTTTTGTGTATGTCTACCAGGTCCAGTTGGGCATAAAGGATTATAATGGTTCACACTCTTCCACTATAAACCTTTATGTCTGTAATATCTACAATGATGTTCCCCTCAATCATTCTGATATGAGTAATTTGTGTCCTCTCTGTCTCTTGATTTTTTTCTTGTTTTGTTTATTTGTCTTGTTTTTGTTTTTGTTACCCTGGTTGGAGTTGCATTGATTTTACTTATCTTTCCAAAGAACCAGCTTTTAGTTTCATTCAATTTGTCTATTGATTTATTATTTTCAGTTTCATCAACTCTTCTCTACAATTTCTTTTATTATTTCTTTTTTCTGCTTATTTTGGATTTAATTTGATGCTCTTTTTCTAGTTTCCTAATGTGGAGGCTTAAATAATATATGTAGTTCTTTTTTTCTTCCCTTATATACAGTGTTAATGTTCCCCTAAACACTGCTTTACCTATATGATACAAATATTTGAGAAGTGTGTTTTCATCTTGTTCAAGATATATTTTCATGTTGCTTGAGATATGTTTTATATATATATATATCTTGTATCTTGAGATATCTTTCCCTGACCCGTGTGTTATTTAGAAGTGTATTTTAATCTCCAAGTATTATGAGATTCAGACCCTCTTTATGGTATTTATTTCTTGTTTAATTCCTTTGTAGTCTTAAAGTAGATATTACGTAATTTCTATTTTTAAAAATTTGTTAAGGTGTGTTGTATGGCCCAGAATATGCTCTATCATGTTAAATGGTCGATGTGATCTTGAGAAAAATCTGTATTCTGCTGTTATTGTGTGAAGTAGTTGATTGACATTCTTTATATCCAATTGATTGATGGTGCTGTTGAGTTCAACTATGTCCTTACTGATTATTTTGTCCATGCTTACTGAATCGGTTCATTTC